GTCTTTTTAAGCGAATTGAAATAAAAAATAATGAGTTTTTAGATTATATCCTATATATATTTTTTAAAAACTATTTTTTATCGGTATTTTTTGTACATTTTTACCTTTCTCATGAGACACCATGGAGTACAGGCAGTGAAAGCTGAGAAAAGACAATCTTGAAATCTTTGAAATGGAGCATTAGGTCTCTCAGCTACCTTAACAATATTTAATAAAAATATGTATTTTTCTTATCTATTTATTGAATAAAAAGACCCATTTAAAAAAGCATTTATAAAAACGCAAGTTCTGTGAAAAAAGTTTCATATTGTTTGATATGTTTAAAAATGAACACTATAAAATCAAAAAATTCAATGATTAAGTTATTGATCAAAAATAAATATATCTATATATAAACTTTGCTTTTCTGACTGTCTGTTTGTCCGTCCGTGTATATCCAATAAACGTCAAAACGGCTGAACAGATTGGGCCCAAATGGTGTGAGGGACCTCAAATGAGCTATATGCATGCTCAAAATTACAAAAAATTGTGTCTAAAAGTTTTGGATTTTTGTTAGTTTTGAAAATGCGCGAACTTTTTAATTTGTTATTTTTTTATTGTACGAAGAGACGATGTTTACAGATAGAGCCACAATTAAAAGTTAAAAATAGAAAATTGGCGCGAAGCGTCCTAAAAGCCTAATCTATTTAATAAAAAAAGACATTCGTATATGTTCCCTATAGCCGGCCAAACGGCTGGACCGAATGGGCAAAAATTTGTTGAATTAAAAAAAAAAATTATTCCACGTAATACGCCGGGCACCTAAGCACATCTTGAAACTTGTCAACAAATAAAACAAAAATTACAGTCTCTTAAAGTTTTGGGTTTTGTTAATGTTGAAAAAATATGATCAAATCCGCGAACTTTTTTATTTGTTACTGTTTTATACTGTACAAAGAGAAGATGTTCACAGATAGAGCCACAATTAAAAGTTTAAATAGAAAATTGGCGCGAAGCGCCCTAAAAGCCGGCCAAACGGCGGGACCGAATGGGATTAAATTTTAAAACATGTCGACAAGTTAAAGTTATAGTTTAATAGGAACAGTTATTAAGCAAAATTTAAAAAAGTTTAAAAATTTTAAAAATTTACCTTTTTAGTCCGTGGAACAGTATTTTCTTCTATTTTTAACATTTCGTAATGTGATATAATTTCCAGATCAGATTGGACCCCGTTCATGCTTTTCGAGCTAAAGACAGGGCTTGTCTGATTTAATGATTGCTCGGATATTTCTTCATAATCATTGGAACTAAAATACATCATTATATAATAAGTTCGTGTCAAATAATCGTCAGAAGTCAAATATTTTACCTGACTGGCACAGGGAGTTTACGTTTAGGTTTTCGTTTAACTTTTTCAATCTGAAACAAAACGTTTTTTCGAACAAGTACCACCTCCCCCCCCCCCTGATAATTATTGATGTTTAAAGTTGTTTGATTATTATATTTTATCTATTATTCTTAACCCTAACCTAACCTAGCTAAAGTAGGGATTACAATGTACATGTACACATCTAAACATAAAGGGGGATGGGGGGGGGGGGTAATCTAGAGTTCTCATATTTATCTGAGCCGAAAAGAAAGAAAGCAAACAAAAGGATATTTTGTAGAATATGAAAAGAAAATTCTGGAAAAGGTGAATATTTTGACCTGGGCGCATTCTGGAATCTCTTCATATACACTTTCAACTGGGTCAGACAGCTTATTCTTTCTTCGCTCCAACGAATCAGTAAACTTTTGAACAAAATGGCGACTCAGTGAGGTGTTGGTCGTCTTCGTAGTTGGCTGTACATCAGGCTCTCTACCAAGTGCAAAGTCAGAGCTTTTGCTGATTTGTTCACGTGTAACATTCGACGCCTGAAAGGAATTGAGTTTTTGCAACAAACTCAAATTTTGTAATCCATGTATCTTTGCAACCTGATGGTGTAAACCTTTGATATTTCAAACTTATAATACTCTATCTAACAGAATTCATAGTTTGAAATATCAAGGCTTTACAACATTGGTTTAACAATTGATAAAGATATAAAAAATCAGAGTTTGTGGCAAAAACTCATTTCCTTTAAAATGTTTGTATTCATGTTGTTGTTAGATATTTTTTTAGATTGAGGCAAAATTTTTAAATTATTAAGTCACGTCAAAATCTTTTTCTAAAATTATCGAGACAACAAAAACTACAAGAATTGAATATCATCATGTTATCAAATAACGATTATCCTTTTATCAACTTCTCATAACCAATTTTTCATTCATGAGGGAACAATTATGTTTAAAATTCAGCCAGGCAAGAAAAATGGTCAGCTGGGACGATATAGTGTTCAGTCGAGACCCAGGATAATAAATTGTACAGTCGGGACAATAAATTGTACAGTCGGGACAATAAATTGTACAGTCGGGACAATAAATTGTACAGTCGGGACAATAAATTGTACAGTCGGTACAATAAATTGTACAGTCGGTACAATAAATTGTACAGTCAGCACAGTAAATTGTACAGTCGGTACAATAAATTGTACAGTCGGGACAATAAATTGTACAGTCGGGACAGTAAAGTGGAATTTCAAAAGTATAATTGAGTCGGGATAAAGGGCAAAGGAAATTAATGTGATCACAAGGAAAATAAATAATAAAATCATTTTTAAAAATTTAGTTTCTCCTGTAAACCTGGTATCTCGTCCCTAGCTTTGGACTGGTTACAGTTGTATCCCCAGTGCTCTTCTCTTTAGTGTGAGGAATCCCTTTTATATCGTTCTCCAGGGTAATATTCTCTTTCAATAGTTCTCTTGGTCCTTCATCTTTTAGCTTTGTCACTTAACAGATATATGTATTACTAGCAGAAGTGCCAGGCGTTTAAAAATTTGGAAACAAAAAAATGTTATTTTTTAAAGAAAAAATTTCGAATTTTTGAAGAAAAAAATTAAAATTTTTTTTAACCTATGTTACCCCAGGGGTATTCAAGGGTTCCCTCCAAAAAGTTTAGCCCATTCTCAAACCGTTTTGCCGGCTTTAGGGAACATATATACGAATGTCTTGTTTATTTTTATAGACAAGTTGAAGGGCCCGTCGTTTCCCGTGGAAAAAAAGTTTTTTAAAAAAAATTTTAAGACAAGAAAATTTCGATTTTTGTTTTAGCCTATGTCTCCCCAAGGGAACCAATGAGTGTTTACAAAAAATGTCAGCCCATTCAGTCCAGCCGTTTGGCCGGCCAGAGGGAGCATATATATAAATATCTTGTTGCATTATAGATAAGAAATGCCAAAGTAATTCTAATTCCAACCTATTTATTTCAATAAAAAGCTATCTATCTTTAATCTTTAATCACATTATTGATAGTCAATCTTTAATCACTTTATTGATAGTCAAATTAAAGGTTGGTTTATGATTCCTAGAGCTTAAAATTGATTATTTTTATTGAAATCTATTACAGTTATTTGCGGATTTTCGCATTTTTGATAATTAAAGGTTCCCTTCATTATTAAAAAAAAAGATCCGGCCGGATTAAAAAACACTAAATCTCGGTTTTCTGAATTAAGTTCAAACACATACAGGGTTACCCACAAAGGATGAGACTGTAAAGATGACCTGAAACTTTTATTATAATCGTTCTATGACTTATTTAATGACTAGGCAACGACAGAAACATGTTTTTAGTTGCAGGGAATCAGAAATCATGAAATAGACAGTATAAATCCTGTTCAATCGTTATTTAAGTCTTTCCTGTATATTTGATATGATTACCTTCTCTTGTCAGATGTCTAGCTCTTCTACTACTCCTAAACAAACTAAATGTATCATTTCAATAAATAAAAATGAATTATTCTCAGAGTGACGGTGACCCCCCAAAAAAGGGAAAAGAATTTTTTATTTTATTTTTGAATTATTAAGTTCTTTACTTACGCTAGTTGGAGTTTATGTTTAGCTGGCGTTGAATCCAGGGTTGGTTGAGGGATAATTTCATCCAGTCTTCTTGTAATATCATAATCTTTGGTTAACTCTAAACAATGATATTCAGTCTTCTTGTAATATCAAAGTTTTTGGTTAGCTCTAAACAATAATATTTAGTTATCTAGTAATATCATAATCTTTAGTTAACTCTAAACAATAATATTCAGTCTTCTTGTAATATCATAATCGTTGGTTAACTCTAAACAATAATATTCAGTTATCTTGTAATATCATAATCGTTGGTTAACTCTAAACAATAATATTCAGTTATCTTGTAATATCATAGTCTTTGATTAACTTGAATAAGGGATTGTGTGACAAACCTGAATGCAGGGCTTGAAACTGTTTTTCGATATAATCTTCACTTCACGTCAGCACAAAACATTCGGAATCAAAAAAAAAAGATTTTTGAAACTATAGTGTACTTTATCATTATTACTCATTTCATCGTGAATTTGATAATAAACGTGCTATAAAGTAATCATCGGGCTATAATGTTAAATTAGCTGTAAATTACAGCACGTGTGCTATAAAGTTATGACTCCCGGATTTTCTCCCAAAACAATAGGATATTTCCAAAATATTTGTTTTAATTGAAATGAAAATAAGATTTAAATCAACCTTATATTTTGACTTCTGCTTTGTTTCAAAGCTTATTTAATCTAGAAACAGCCATTGAAATAAACGTTTCATAAAATTACCTAGCACTTTTATTTTGGCACGACGTGCTATAAAGTTTTTGGACTTAAATTGTCTGTATATATCGAAGGTTCTCGCATTTTTAGATTATATTTTGTCCCTCGCTAAAGCTTGGGACAAAATTAAATCTAAAAAGGCTTGAACCTTCTCGATAAAGAGAAAATTTCTATCCAAAAACTTTATAAATTGCGAACCAAAATAACAATGTTATAAATAGTTATTAAAACAACTTTAAAGAGAGAGCCAAACAATTGTGATATAGGAAGACGACATTGTAACAATAATAAAGTGTATTTGATGTTGCATACAAGAATATATTAGTTTTAATACTGACTTATTAAGTCACTCATTCAATGAAAGGTTTTTTTTATAGTATACTGGACAATTGCTGTGTCTGATGGACTATTTAAAGTCATAGCTTGAGTTTGAAAGACTTTGCATGCGATTAATATTTTTTATAACTTTAAGTAATATTAATGAGCATTGATTTAAAAGTGAGTGGGCAAAACCCAAAAAAGCAAATGATGATATTTTTTTTAGAGATTGAATTTGTTTCCTAAATTCTGATGAATGCTTTGAATGACATTCTTCAAACTCTCTCTCAAACCTAAACAGAAACTAATTGATATAATGTGTTCGATGAAATTAGAAAAAGCTATCTAATCCGTGAACAAAATGTTCAATATGATTTGTTTAATTTTTTCTTAATTGAAAATTTGCTTGAAATAAGAAATGTGAAAATTAAATTTTGGAAGTAAATTTTATAAACTTTGGTAGCAAAAAATCAAATTTTATGAAATATAAGTAAAAGAATTACACCCCTAATTTCTTTAATATTTCAAACAGAATTCAAAGTTTGAAATATCAAAAGTTGCAATTAAGAGCTTGGGTGACCCTTTATTAAAAAAGGCATACCCGATTTACAACAGTACCCTTTTACCTTTCTCTTATCAATAACGTTGAAGATAACTACAAATAAAATTAATTAATTTTCAGGGAAAAAAAGGATTGATATCTCATGCATTCCTGCTCAAACTAATTTTTTGAGGGTTCCGTTCACGGGCAGCCGTAGTGCATTTGAATTTCCGAGCCGGGTCAACCTTTCCGGTCCCAGTTTGTACTGTATCGCCCGGACATTGGGTAAATAAAGCAGACACTTAATACGACTAGCCGGTGCAACAAGGTTTACGTGGTCAGACTTTAGGTTTAATTTACTTTTCCTAGTAATATTAAATATTTGAATTTAGTGACTGGTGTTTAAAAAACGTTTAAAAGACAAAAAAGTAATAAAAATAGTTATAGTATTAATAAGATAAATATAAACCTTGAGACCCAGTTTTCTAAAACTGAATTTGACAGTTTTCCTTGTTTTCTCTGGTCTAGAAGGGCAGTGAGAACTGCTGGGGATATTGGTTCTTCCTGCAACAATATTAGTTTTCTTTAAATCCATTTATTTAAAGGGACTTTTTGCAAAATTTCAAATGACAGTTCATGCAAAGATAGCAATGTCCTTTCCACAACTGCACCCTTTATTTGATCAATAATGTGGAAGATATTTATTTCTGATAATTTCTATGTGTTATCCTGTGGTAGAAATGCGCAAGTCACTTCTGTTCTGTTGAAAAAATTAATAATAATCTGTTTTCAAAATTATAAACATTGATATTTAATTCATACACATAAACATTGGGAATCGAGCATCACGTGGATTTAACGGTTCTGTCAAAATTTCAGAAAGCTGGGACTTTCGATAACAATTTGACCCATTATACATAATTTTTAGCATTTTTCTTAAATACTTTTTTGTCGGCATATATATTTTGAATGAAAAAGTATAGAATAAACAAATAAGTTTAAATATTGTTGAAGTATTGACCAAGACACGTTTGATTTCAAATAAAAGAAACCAAATGCTTCTCACTCTAGTTAATCTGGGGTGGCATTACCATCTTTGCTTGAGGGGTTACTTAAGATTACGCTTACAGTTCGTGAATCAAATCAAATAAAATTTTTTAAAAAGATTAAAAAATAGTTTTTCTAAATATATCTTAAAAGTAGTTAAATGGATAACAGTATAACATAACAAAAATAATAATCAAAAATCAGATTAACAAGCATATTTTGCAAAACAACAAAGATATATTTTTTTGTTTTTTTGTAAAAATAAAAACGATAAATACCTGCGAACTCTTCCTCTGAGATTCCTGAAACATGTTCATTTAATATTTGGAATACAGGGGTCCCCAGAATCACAAGGAAATGTAACAGATGAAAAGCTTAAAAAAGTTTAATACGACAGAATTTACATTATACAATCTAAAACGATCGTTCAGAATAATATTTTCTGAGCAAATTTTAAAGCAAACATTTTGAAATTATGTCAAACTTTTCAGTTTTTTTTTGCAGCCATTTGAACGCAGAATACCCCAAATGGTAAAAATTCGAATCCAACAAAATAATATAATTTTCTTACTTTCAACGTAATATAGGTTAGGTATGGGCATCGTTTCTTTAAAAGATCGAAAAAAACTCTCGTTTTTTTTTGTTTTGGATTTTTAAATACGGTCGTTTCGTTTTCAATCTTTAAAATCTACCTTTGATTCGGTGTTTTATTTTTAAAACAATTGTTTAACGTTTATATTTCGTCATAATTAACGATGCGATCAAATCGTGAAAACTGCACTTTCCTATCTGTATTTACTGTAAGATGTTCTACCTGGAAAAATGAAGGTCGTTGAAGTCTCCTAGTTGTTGATTGCCGGATTTGTTTCTTTAAGATTAGTTCATTTTTCAACTCAAGATCAACAACTTTAAACCAGACAATATTCAATATGGTATTTTTAAAATAATTTTATCTTTGTCAAATATGTTAAATATGACAAATATGTCAAATATCTAAACCTCGGGATAACAAAGCCAAGAAATTCTAGAAATCTGTAAAATTAGAAATCATAGATTTATATTTGGTTCAATTCAATTTGATCTGTATTTACATAAACTTCTCAAAATTCATATGTCAAGGCGCGAAAAAAAGAAATCTCATTTTTTTCGTAGAAATCTCTTCAAAGATTTTACAATTTGTTTTCATCTGAATATTGTTTTTCCTTGTTTATCACTTTTTTCCATGTCTCTTTTCCACATTTCTTTATTTAGAAACCAATACTTATTTAAATCACGCTATTATTCACATCTATATCTTGGAATATATCTGCTATCTACTAGATATGCACTACATTTACTACAAGTGTCTGTATCCTAGTATAAAGATATATTGCAGAAAGTTGACCGAAATCATTTACCAGCTTTCTATTCATGCTGCCGGGTCATAGCAACAAAATAGTAGGACAGAGCGTCCTAGAAAATATATGGACAAGGGGTCAGGAAATAATGTAAGGACAGAGCGTCCTGGAAAATATAAAGACAAGTCGTCCCAACAAAAGTAAGGAGAGGGCGTCCTAGAAAATATAAAGACAAGACGTCCTAAAATAATGTAAGGACAGGGCGTCCTAGAAAATATAAAGAGAAGGAGTCCTAGAATATATAAAGAGAATGAGTCATAAAATAAGGTAAGGACAGGGCGTCCTTGAATATATAAAGAGAAGGAGTCCTAAAATAATGTAAGGAAGGGCGTCTTAGAAAATATAAATACGAGACGTCCTAAAATAATGTAAGGACAGGACGTCCTAGAAAATATAAAGAGAAGGATTCATAAAATAATGTAAGGACAGGGCGTTCTAGAAAAATAAAAAAAGAGTCCTAAAATAATGTAAGGACAGGGCGTCGTAGAAAATATAAAGAGAAGGATTCCTAAAATAATGTATGGACAAGGCGTCTTAGAAAATATGAAGAGAAGGAGTCCTAAAAAAATGTTAGGACAAAGCGTCCTTTAAAAACGTATGGACAGGTAGTCCTTAATAAATGTAAGTGGTGGCGTCCCAGTTTGTTTTGATAATAAATTAGCATGAGTTGTCCCAAACAAAATAAAAGATTAGAAATCCTTATATGAATACAAAAATAATATAAGGACACAGTGTGTGCTAAAAATAATAAAAGGGCACAGTGTATGTGCTAAAAATAATATAAACCCATTTCCTGGGTGTCCTGCATCCAATATATGTACAGGGCGTCCTAAAAAAAAATATGGTTTAAGCTGAATTCATGTTTACAAGTAAATACTTAGAATACATCACACATTGTCTGTGTCTCACTTTAATATCGATATTCAGAAAATGGATGTGTGTTAAAAAACTTGCAAAATTGTTACTAAGAGAAAAAAAATGTTTGTTTAAAGGGACTGCACAGTGTACAGTGTAGACACAATTTCAATTCTAAATTTGAAATGCCACTCTTTAAATGGAGAGTCTCTTGAAATTTAGTTTACAGTCCCTTTCATGTCTCCAAGTTTACGATTTTGATAGTAACAATAATAATAATAAAGATAGTAATTATAATAGTAATAATAATCAAAAGAATGAAGAAAAAAGTTCTAATTTTTTAACAAATTTTAAGGAAGTCGGTGTTTCACCTTCCACATTTCTGACAAAATGGGACAAGGACAAAATGGTAATTCTTATACCCATGAAAAACAACATTTACATAACAAGTATATCTTAAAAGAGACTATTAACTTAATTTCAAGTTAAATTTAACGTTTTTATTTGATTTATTTGTTCAAATATGCGAACAAATTCATAAAGAATATTAAATTCAATATAATTATGAAAACGAAATAATTTATTCTAACATTGATTTATCGACAAATTTCTTTTGAGAAATATGTTCCTAAGCATTTAATTATTTACTATATTTCGTCATCTAATAATTTTTGAAAACCCCAATTTGATGATTTTAAACGTCGACTTTGCGCTCAAAATCAGTAATTATTGATCTTTATAACGTTTTATATTTTTCAAATGAATCCTAAAAATCACAGTTTCTGTGTCCCATGCCCATTAGACTTTGATTCTAACAGTCGTCCTCCTATTCCTGAGTTTTCTGGTTCTCCCTGTATTCCCCTTCTAGTTAAAAAAAGAATGTATTTTAGATGAGAGAGGCTGTAAGAACATATACCACAAAGCTACAGAGAAAACAATCTTCTAAAAAAAGTAAATAAGCATGAAATATAAAGGAATGTTTATGGAAAATAATAAAAGGGGATATAGGATAGGATAGGATAGGATAGGATAGGTTAGGATAGGTTAGGATAGGATAGGATAGGTTAGGATAGGTTAGGATAGGATAGGGTAGGATAGGATAGACAAGGATTTTCCAATCGAAGACAGAAAAATCATGAAAATACTGATAACCTTATTATACACTGATTAAAAAGTATAAAAGTATAAAATCTATATTTAATTAAATTTTATTCAAATTCAAAATATATATATATTTAATATAAAGAGGTAAATATCAAAGAGGTTCGCTGTTTGGGACATTTTGTTGTGGGCTTCAAAATTTTAAACAGTTAGGATATGACTTTTGAATTTTTTAATTTGGCACAAAACTTTTGAATAGTAAGACGACATTTTATTTACATTTGAAGTTAGTATGAAGAGAATATAACTATACTGTACAAATACTATTTTCTTCCATTAAAATGAACAATTTCTTTTAAACAGATCCTTATGATTATGAGAAATCTGAAGAAGAACTTTCAGAGGAAATTCTAGGTTTAAAGATGGAGCTAAACACAGTCAGGTAAACAGATAACAAAATTTTGTAAAAACCGCGTCTTAGAAAATGTCAAATGAAATGTTTAACATGCAGGTTAACAACCAAATAATGCGGGAGCATTTCTTGACGCTTCATTTTTAATAAATCATTTAATCACAATTTCTCAGCCTTTTTTTCTGAGATTCCTTGTACCCCACAGACTCAAACATTTCAAAAATTCCGACCACTTTCAAGATAATAATGTAAGGAAAAAGAATAAATTCCGTCTATTAAAGGGAGTGTTCTCGAAAAATTAAAGAGGAAATATATGAGATTACATCGAAAAATATTCGATGGTGATTGCTACTAATGAATGTAGCGTCCATACAAATTCAGAAAGTTGCAATTTACAACTCGAATCGTAAAAAAATCCATTTAATTTCAAACAAATCATTCAGATATTACAACCTGTGATCATCGATTTTTTTGACGCATTCGTATATAGTTAATATTTCATCATATGTGTAACTTGTTTCAAATAAGATGTACTTTAAACGACGAATTTTTTGTCGCGAGCAGAGACACCTAGCGGCCAAATAATCGTCCTTGAAGACGTAAGCTTATACCCCCTTTCATTTTTAGCGAACACTCCATTTAAGTTTCATTGTTTGAGGGTGACCCTATAATATATTAAATTTATATTCCTGTTTATTTTAGGAATGAATTACAAGTGGAAACTGTGAAAACGAGAAGGAAGTCTAGTCATGGTAAAACCGCAGTAAATAGTTGTTAAAAAACCTCGAGTTTTCTTTTCCTTTGAAACCTGATGATGTAAACCTTTGATTTTTAAAAATTAGCCAATCGAATCTTCAACATAATTTGATATATAAAAGGTTTACGAAATCAAGTTCAAAGTTGGACTGATAAAGGGACGAGAAAATTAGAATTTCTGTCGAGTATTCAGTTCCTTTAAAAGTATTGAATCCATCTTATTTTTAGGTCAGTTAAAAATTGATAATTCTCCAAGCAACCAAGCTTATTTAACCTTTAAACAAGGTTTTGATGATTCAATTATAAACAGGTAGTTCACTGTGTATAGATCCTAGCCCCCCCCCCTGGCTCCCCCCCCTTTCAAATAAGGGACTTTTAATTGTATAAATCACTAGTGTTGACTGTTAGGACATAATTATTAGGAGTTGAGTCTTTGCCACAAACTCTCATTTTCTAATCCAATTATCTGTACAACCTGATGACGTAAACCTTAGATATTTCAAACTTAGATTATTTGATCCAACATAGTTTAAATATATAAGGACTACGACATTGGATGAAAAAAAAGATATTAGGATTAGAACATCAGAGTTTGTGGCAAAAACTTAATTCTTTTATGATACTTTGAAATTATTATGATTTTTGATGAAATTACAGCAAATATCTGCAATATCGGAAATATAAAAATATTTAGATTCAAAAAGATATTTATAGTGTTGTTATTAATATTGATATTGGCGATGTTAAATATATTGATGTTGATGTAAATGATGTTGATGTTGATATTTATAGCATTGTTATTAATGTTGATGTTGTTTTTGGCAATGTTAATGATGCTGATATGCTGATGTTGATATTGGTGATGTCAATTATGTTGATTTAGATATGAGTGATGTTAATATATTGATGTTGAGAATGTTAACGATGTTAACGACGTTGATATTGTTAACGATGTTGATGTTGAGGGAGGTTTTGGAGAAGATGTCCAGTATGTCCCAGGTAGCTAATCAGCTGATTCAGGAAAACCAGAGGCTGAAGAAGTTCAACGAGAGTTTAAGGTTAGTTAATCGTCAGGTTTCCTTTTAGCCAAACAAAAAATTTAAATAAATTTTTTCTCCATTTATTAATTTGTTACCAATCATATATAAGTGATCAGAAACTGATCCNCTTTATTAGAAACTTATCTATAGACCTTAACTACTTATTCATACTTTATCAGAAACTTATCTATAAACCTTAACTACTTATTCATACTTTTTTGCAGTTTAAGGGACTATAGTCGAAATGTCAAAGGGTGTCGTCATGAAACAGGCATACTCCTTTTTTAAATATAAGGTTGCTTGAAATTACAAGTCCTTATATACTTTAGGAATGGAGTTAGCAAAGAACAGTTTGATTACGACGAAAAAATTGCTGTTATAGACAAAAACTTTAGGTAAAACATATAAATCATTATCACTTTTCTTTAAATATTTGAAATTAAAACATTTTGTTAAAAAAATATATTAAAATTTAGGTGATACAGTTAAAATGATAATAACTAAAGGATTCTTAAAAAATGAAAGTATTTTCAATGATTGCTAAAATTATTGTAAAAATTCGAGAAATCAAATATCAAATAATTTTTTCTTTCTTTTATTAATACAAAGAACACAATTTTATGAAAAGCTTTTTCATTTTTATTTTACTTGTATTCCCTTCCTTCAGGAGAACAGAATTGGACCTTGAGGCTAGAATAAATGAGAAGAAAAAGGAAAAAAGCACATTTTACTTAATTTTATACATTTTATATTTTAATTCTGTAGCATAGTCTTCAATCAGGAAAATAAAAAATAAGAAATATAAATAGGTTAAATTTAGAAAATGTTCAACAAGATATCTACATTGTTAA